ATGTTTGTCATCATGTGCTGTCAGGAAAATGCCAATTAAAACCACAATGAGATACCACCTCACACCTGTGACAATGACTATTGTAGGGTGAGGAGGAAAAGGAACTCTGGTACATGGTGGGTGGGGATGGAGACTGCTCCTGTTAGCGGGTTGAATGAGGAGCTCCCCAGATCCTCAAACCTGATAAATCTAAGTGGGTACTGCCATTGGTTGCATAAAATAAAACATACTATGGTGTGTAAGACCTTTAATAGAAAAGAATGATAATATAATTAGTGTGCAATAGAGAATTAGTGTGCATTTAGTGTGAGAACTAGTGTGAGAAAGAGAAGAGAAATAATATAGTTAAAATAGTTTCCAAATGAAACACCCAAAGTTACCCCTCCCCTCATGGGAAATGCCCAGCCAAACAGGGTTGGCCCAAAGCAGCACTGCTGAGGCCCAAAGGCCTGCCACAGTCTAAGGCACCTCTGTTGGGGACTCCCAGGAAAGGGGCAGGAGGGGCCAGGCAAGTCTGGATGGACAAGAGCAAAATCAAAATCTACATCAAGATAAAGGCTGCCATTGTCAGCCTCCACTGGGTTTCTCACCCACATCTTTGTCTCTTCAAGTGTCTCTTTCCATGTCCCCCAGGTCCCCGGTACCAGCCCAAAGCTCAGAAGCAAGTGTAGTTTTTTCTTCACATGTTCCTCTGCTCCATGTGCCTCCCTTAGTTTCCTTTCCCCATCTCGTTGCTTCTGCCTCCTCTTTAACTTCCAATTCCTGGTGAGCTCCATCCTTCCTGGGGTGGGGCAGGAGAATTGGAACCTTTCTTTTCTATGGACACCACACTGTCACAGTCCTGTCCCTGTGAAGAACAGAATGAACGTTCCTCAAAATATTCAAAATACACCTTCCACATGGTCAAGCATGCCATTTCTGGGCATTTATCCAAAGGAGGTAAGAACACTAATTCCAAAGAATATGTGCCTGCTATATTCACTGCAGCACTGTGCACAATAACCAACTATGGAAACAACCTAAGTGCCCAACGACATATGAATGGACAAAGAAGAGGCGGTAGATAGACACAATGGAATACTACTCAGCTGTGAAAAAGATAAAACCTTGAATTTGCAAAACATGTATAGATGTGGAAGGGATGATGCTAAGTGAAATATGTTTGAAGGAGAAAGTCAAATACTAGATGGTTTCATTCATATGTGGAATATAAAGAAACAAAGCTGGGATAGATGAAACTAAACCAAAACATACTCTAGAAATATGACTGGAGGGCCTCCCCTGGTGGTGCAGCGGTTGAGCGCTGGGCTGTAAGCTCCCCACAGCCTCTGCAGTGCCGATTCGATCCCTGGCCACCAGCAAGGGTCCCATATGGCGCAACAGAACTCTCCTACCCCCTCGCTGCTCCCTTCAGCAGTGTATTTTGTCAGTCTGCCTGTTCCGTTCCCAGCTCTGGCTCTGGTGAATCCTCTCACCCTCCCGCGCTTCTGACTGTACCAGTGCTTGCACAAATAAATAAATAAATAAATCTTTAAAAAAAAAAGAACTATGACTGGAGAATTGAGCCTATGGGTGAGGGAGGGTGAGAGCAGGTCACAAAGAGGGAAGAGGGCCTCATGGACTATGGCGGAGGACTGTGGGTACACTTAGGTGGGTGTGATGTGGTAATAAACATCTGAGAGGGTGACCCTGTGCCTCTGAACACATACAGTATATAAACACATACAGTATATATACAGTATATAAACACATACAGTATATAAACAGTATATTTCTATTGCCTCAATAGAAATAATACAGTAATGAGGGAAAAAAGAAAGTACAAAAAAAGTATATTGTCTCCTTCATCCTTCACTGACCTTAGGACTTTGCCTTTGCCTCCTCACTGTCATGCAGGGTGAGGAGCTGGTTCCCCACAAGGTCAGAGGCAGGAGGTGTAGGGACTCCTGGGGCTGCTCAGACCCCACTGAGCAGAGACACTGCAGTGAGGACGGCTCTGAGGGGAACCAGAGACAGAGGGTCAGAGTAACTCCCAGTGCTGAGTGAGGATCTGGTTCCCAAGCAGAGGGGAGTGTGTGTGTGTGTGTGTGTGTGTGTGTGTGTGTGACAGAAGAGATAGGGCACACAACATAGGCAGTGGGAGAACAATTACACACAAAGCCCAGCATAAATGAATTCAAATCCCACAAACAGCAAAGAAAGTGAGTACAACACCCCAACAGGTACAGTTCAATGAAGAAGCAGTTTTTGAGCAGGACTTGAAAAAGCAGAACTCCAGTTAGAACAGTTAGAACAGTTAGAACTGTTCTCGTGGTTAGAATGTAAGGAGGCAGGGTGGGACCCCTCTCAAGGCCTCCTGCTGGGTTTTGGTGGCACCCCCAACCCGGACGCCTCCCTCCCCCAGTCCCCAACATTCACTCCAAGCTCATCTTCTTTGGGGTCACTATAGAAAACCCACTGGCCTCAAAGACAGGGGGCATCAGCCTGGCAGCCCCTCTGTTTCCCAGGGGGTCACTGCCTCCGTGGTCACTGCAGCTACATTCTCTCTAGACCAGAGCTGGTGGGAGTCACACAGGGGGAGGGCAGAGTGTGTGCCCTGCTGGCCTGGCCCAGGGTCAGGATTAGCACATGTTATACCAGTTACTGGGCTGAGCCCTTGTCTAAACTATAGGATGGGAGTGGAGCGATGGAGCAGGATCTACCCCAGCTCCTGAAGGAAGGTGTAACGTTAGAGTGGGTGAAATTAGTGTTTCTTTCTCATTTTCTCATCATCACAATCCACTGGACAACATCCAGAGTCAGGGTTGGGTCCTCAGTGATGGGCGCCCACTACCTGCCCAGACAGCCACATGTGATTAAGTTGAACTTAAAAATTCCTCCTAATGTTGCTCTTGTGGTGGAAGGAGATGCGTGGGGAGAGAGGGGAGGTGATGACAGTGGCTGGGCCCCAAAACTTCTGTAGAATGACCAATTTCTGACCTCTGCTCAAACAGAATAAGGACACTTTGTTACATCATAGCCCTTGAAATGTCTGAAATCTCTGTGTGCATAAGCAGGGCAAATCCCAACAAAATACATGGTTGTTTGCAGTATGTTGGTTGGTGTGTGTTGGAGGCGGCCACCCTGCGCAGTAAGCAGAAGGGCCTTGACCTGAGTCCCTAAGGCATGTGAAAACACATGTGTCTTGGAGGAAAACCTCTGGGTGACAGGACTTGGTGTTAAGAGCCTGGAAGTGAACTGCGTACATCTCCACAGATTGACAACAACAAAATAATGAGCGAACTTCCCAGGCTCAGGCTAGGAGGCGATAAGATTATGTGTGTGAGAACTAACCGCCTGGTATCCTACTGTCTGAAGTAAATAGATAATAGTAAGAAAATAGACTAATCATTCATACGTGTTATCATTATGTGGTATGCTTTGATGTTACACCTGCTACAATTAAAATAGTATATAATAAGCACTAAGACAATAATGATTTGCTGCATGCTGGACATGACAGTCCCCCATGTCTGATTTCCTTCACCGTCGCGGGTCAGGACTCACTAAAAGTCCACAGGTGTGAGAGTCCTAACATGCCATTACCAGAAACAAGAGTCCTCCCCAGGTGCTTTTTGCATAACTGTATTAATTTCTTAACTCAAATGACATATATTGGGGTGCCACCCTCCAGGCACTGGGATGCAGAGTGAGCTGTCCCAGGACTCTGTGTGTCTATAACTCAGAGTCCAGCTGGAGACAGGCCGGGGAGCAGAGAGCAAGGGGCCCCTGACCTGGGAGCTGCTGGGCCTCCTTTCTGAGGCGGTAACAGGTGACCTGAGCCCCAGAGGGGCAGGAGGTGACAGGGGGTGAGTAACCCCGAGGAGCAGAGGTGCAGGTCCAGGGATGGGCATGCACAGAACCTGGAGCAGCTGCAGTGAATGTGAGCTGTCCCTTTAAGAAAATCAATGGAAAGTTGACAAATGATAGTAATTAACTGCCTTGATAAAGTACAAGCTCCAAGTGAAGACCAGATACTGAAAAATTGTGTCCCATCACAGTAAACTTGGCAACTTCCAGTAGCCACTTACTTTTCTTTGGGGATCTTTGGAACGTAAAACACGTATGATTTTAAAAATCTGATTCTAGAATAATTAACATAAAGGTCATATAGCCTGGTAAAACAATGCATCACTTTTTAAAATCATGTATTAGTTCAAGATTAGTAATCAATAGAGATCTATGGAATTAATGTAACAGAATAAAGAACATCAATGATATTGTTCCACCACTCACTTTGCAAATAACATTTGAGAAACCACCACTTGTATAGTTTATTTATTGTTGAAGTGGAACAAAGTTGAATGTTCACAATTATCTGAAAGGTACTTAAAATACTATTGTCACCTATTTCAGAGAGGCCGTATTGTTTTTCATTGGCCAACCAAATCAGAGTAAATGCAGGAGAAAATAGGGCAATCCAACATTCCTCTAGTGAGACAGAGAAGAAAGATAATTGCAAAAATGTAAGCTGTGAAAGATCCACACATGACCCTGATTATTTTCATTAAATATCTATAGTCCTTTAAGATACTTTGAACACACATTGGGTTATTAATATTATTCTAAATTAAACAAAAACATCTTTAAATTGATTTATTCCTCAGGTAGTAAATACTGAGAGCTATAACCTCCTAAAATTATACTGGGGTCCTCGGTAATTTGTAAAAGTGTGCGGAGATCCTGAAACAAAAACTCTTGAAAATCGCTGCCCCAGTCCCTGGCCTGGCCTCAGGGAGGCAACAGTGTGACAACGGCCTTGGAGCAGGAGAGGAGGGGCGGCAAAATCCCAGGTCCCCTGGTTTGGTTGTCAGGGTCTCAGCATCCAGGGTGGCTGTGTCTGGGGCAGGGAAGGTCACTGTTGGGGATTCCCCATCTCCCCACAGTTTCCCTTCTCTCTCACAGCCTGGGCGGGTCCTCCTTCCTGGATACTGGTGACTCACCCCAGGTCTCACTCCCCATTGACTGCAGGTCTCCAGAGCAGCCAATCAGCATCACCCTGGCTCCACCTTACAAATGTCTCCACTAGACCCGCCAAGATTCAAATGCTCAGCTCCCTCTAGGGCACAGGTGATGCCACCAGCTCTCCTGCTGCTGCTTTTGCTGTCCCTGGCCCTGGCAGAGACCTGGGCAGGTAAGTGCTGGCTTGGGAGGGAAAAGGCCACTGAGGAGGGGGAGCTGAGGAACCCTGGCGGGGAGGGGGGGCACAGGACCCTGGGAAAGGCATGTCTCCCCCATCCCTGACCCTGTTGTCCCCCGTGACCCCATCCTGCCCTGACCCCTTTCTGTCCCTTCCAGCCTGCCGCCTTCTCTTGCCCCTCTGAGTCTCCAGCCTTCTCCTCCGCTGCCCCATTTCAATCTCAGGAGCCCCCTCGCCCCCTCCCCTCCCGCCCCGTCTCCTCGGACCCGCGCGGGGAGGAGGGTCAGCCGGGGTCTCCCTCCCGCCCCCAGGCTCCCACTCCCTGAGGTATTTCTACACCGGGATGTCCCGGCCCGGCCCCGGGGAGCCCCGCTTCATCGCCGTGGGCTCCGTGGACGACACGCAGTTTGTGCGGTTCGACAGCGCCGCGGCGGGGCCGAGGATGGAGCCGCGGGCGCCCTGGATGGAGCAGGAGGGCCCGGGGTACTGGGAGGAGGAGACGCAGAGCGCGAAGGCCACAGCGCAGACGTTCCGAGAGAACCTGCTCACCCTGCGCGGCTACTACAACCAGAGCGCGGCCGGTGAGCGGGGCGGGCCCGGGGCGCTCACGACCCCACCCCCGCGGGCGGGCGGGGACCCCAGACCCCGGGCCCGAGCGTCCCCCGAGGCAGGGGGACCCGCCGGACCCTCGACCCGGGACGCGCCCCGGGACGTTCCCCGCGAGGTTCCCGCGTCAGTTTCGGTTTATTCCAGGAGGCAGGGGGTGCGGGCGGGGTGACCGCGGGGTGACGCGGGCGGGGACAGGCTCTCACACCCTCCAGAGGATGTCTGGCTGCGACGTGGGGCCCGAAGGGCGCCTCCTCCGCGGGTACAGTCAGTTCGCCTACGACGGCGCCGATTACCTGGCCCTGAACGGGGATCTGCGCTCCTGGACCGCGGCGGACATGGCCGCTCAGGTCTCCCGGCGCAAGTTGGAGGCTGAGGAAGTGGCTGAGCGCTTCAGGAACTACCTGGAGGTCACATGCAGGGAGTCCCTGCGCAGGTACCTGGAGCACGGGAAGGAGACGCTGCAGCGCTCAGGTAAGAGGGGCCGCGAGGTCTCCCCAACCCCCTCAGGCCGGCACCGCAGGGAGGGTGGAGTCAGGGTCACAGCAGCGCCCTCTCCTGGTCAGGGGAGGAGGAGCCCCACTGGGTTTCCTGACTCCCCAGAAGACCCCACTTTTCCTCAGAACAGTTAGGGAATCCAGTCTCTCCTGAGCCTGAGGGGAGACTAGCCCTGATATCGCCCTTAATGGGATCCTTTTGACCCTGCAGCCCTCTTGGGAACCATCAGTTTTTCTCTCAGGGTCTTGTGATTGGTCTGAGGACATTTTTTCTGATCAGACTGCTTTTCTGAGACCCCAGGCCAGGAGCAAAATTATGTGCTCTCCTGTTTATAAAACTGCGTCGTCCTCTCCAGAGCTGTCACCCTAATTCTAGAACTTTCTAAGGAATAACAGATTATTCCAGACTCCCCAGACCAGGCTGGGTTCTAGATTTTGTGCTTCCTCTTTCCAAACCCATTCTGAGGATGGGACATGAAGGTTTTTCAGGGTCCATGTGAGAAAAACCCAGAGTGTGAAAGTTCTCACCCTTCTCAGATGCCCCAAAGATACACATGACCCACCACCCCACCTCTGACCAAAAGGTCACCCTGAGGTGCTGGGCCCTGGGCTTCTATCCTGCGGACATCACCCTGACCTGGCAGCGAGATGGGGAGGACCTGACCCAGGATACTGAGCTGGTGGAGACCAGGCCTGGGGGGGACGGAAACTTCCAGAAATGGGTGGCTGTGGCGGTGACTTCTGGAGAGGAGCAGAGATACACGTGCCATGTGCAGCATGAGGGCCTGCTGGAGCCCCAAGTCCTGAGTTGGGGTAAGGAGGGAACATGGGCAAGAGCGTCTCAGGGGCATCAGCAGCCCTTCTGGAGACTTTCAAAGGGTCAAGATGGAGGCCTGGAGCTCAGGGTCTCACCTTCCCTTCCAGTGCTACCTCCTCAGCCCACCGTCCCTAGTGACTCCACAAACCCCACCGGGGGTGTCATTGCTGGCCTGGTTGTCCTTGGAGCCGTGCTCACTGGAGTTGCTGTGGTGCAGCTGTGATGTGGAGGAAGAAGTGCTGAGGTAGGGAAGGGAGTTGGGGGGATCATGTCTACTGGGAGCCTTTCAGGACACAGGTAATACTTGCCATACCTGGTAATAGGAAGTATTACCTATTACCTAATAGGAAGTATAACCTATTACCCACACACTTGTGTTGAGCAGTCTGGAGCTTATTGCTAACCCTCTTTTGTAAAGCATTTTTGAAAATGAATCACATTGTTCATAATTGATAACAATGAATTTGCTAATTCTGGTGATGGAGCCCTGATTCCAGCAAATGGCAGAGGGGAAGGTCCCTGCTAAGGGAAGACCCCAGGATGCAGTTGACCAGTCCCCTCTCATCTCTTTCTTCATATTTCCTGGTCTTACCATAAGTGCCCAGTCATAATTCTGGAAACTTCCCTGTGGTCCAGACTTAGGGATTCCATTATGGCTTCATAGCCTGACTGCTCCCTGTTCTCACATGATGCTTCTTCCCTTAGGCCTGAGGAAGCTACATTCAAGCTACAGATAAGTGTGGATCAGGGGTTTTGTCCCTGAACCCCTGTGGACAGTGTAGATGTAGCAGCAGAAGGCATCTGTCGTTGTCCCCACAAGGCCCAGGGTGTCCCCTGCACACAGGAGTCTGGTGAGATGAATTTCCAGACTCATCTGATTTTTGGCCACATTTAGGACTTTCTTGATGATTCTTTCCATCTTTTCCAACAAAATTCTGATATTACTAGAGAGGAGGATTTGATAGTTTTCTGAGCTAACCCACATATGGCACAACAGACCTCTCCTGTTTTGCCCGCTGCTCCCCTTAGCAGTATATTTCAGTAAATACACCTGTTCTGCTCCCCACTTTGTCTCTGGTGAATCCTCTCACTAACCCCACCCACGCACTCCTGACCTACACCCCAGTTCATCTACGCAAAAATAAATAAATCTTAAAAAAAAAAACACTTAGGAACCACTTTTCAAAAGAAATACACCTGTGTAATGTGCCACATTAGTAAAGACACTGTCTCTAGAACAGGGAGGTGCTCTCCACTGATGGCACAACTGATAACTGTTGCACAAGGTGTGTGACTGTTTATGCAACTAGGAAACCTCCATGAACTAAAAACATGCACAACTTGCAGTCTGTGGAGAGTGTGTCCTAGTGGGGAGGGGAGACTGGGGACTGTGTGACAGTAGATCAGACAGTAAACCACGCGTGTCTGGTAAGAAGTGGGTACGGGATGTGGGAAGGTAACCAGAGTCAGTGTGTGAGGACAAGATGGTTTTCTTCCCAGCGTGGTCAGTGTTGGTATCACTGAAGTGACCTTCGAGGAAAAGTTTGATGGACACGTTGCCCATGAAGATGTGATGTGCAGGGAAGTTCAGTCCTGGCAGAACAATCTCCAATGCAGATGCTGAGCAGGAATGTGTCTGTAGGACTGACATGAGCAAGGAGGCCAAGGGATGAGCAGAGGCCAATTGAGATGGGGTATGTGTGCACCCAGGTCATTCAGGCCGTAGGATGTTGGGAGGATTTGACTCTCTAAGTAAGATGTGGGTGACAAGATCTTCTGAACAGACACCTGTGGGACTGATCTCTGGTAGCTCAGTCTGGCTGCTGTGCAGCATGGAAGGGTGAGAAGTGGGAAGAGAAATGTAAGAAACCAGTGCAGGCCCTAGGACAGAGAGGTTGGTGACTCGTTGGGGGTGAGCAGGGAAATAATAGGAAGTGATAGGACTGTGAATATGTAGACATGGACTTTACAGTGTTTCCTACTGCTGGGCTGTGAGAAAGGGGTCAAGGATGACACTCAGTGTCTCAGACTGTGCAGGCAGAGAGGCGGAGCCTCAGTGACATGGGGAAGACCCCAGAAGACCCATATGTGGCATCCCAGGCATTCACTTTAGAAATGTTGAATCAGATCTATTAGAATTGAAAGTGATGTTGGCAGTTGGACAGACAAGTCTGGGGCACAGGTGAAATGTCTGAGGTAAGAAACATCTTGGAGGTGATGTGATATAAATGATATTTAAAGTCTTGAGCATGTAAGTGTCACCCAGAAAGTGATGATCAAGCAAGAGAAAGGAGCCGAATTGAACCCCAGATTCCACAGTGGTGAGCAATCTGAGCAGATGCCCCCCAGAGCCAACTGCACAGTCTGACCCCACATGGAGAAGACATGGATCCCAGGGAGCCCCCACTTGAGTGAGCACAGGAGTCACCTGGATGCTCTTGAAGACTCAGAAGGTCTAGAACAGAGCCTGAGAGTCCGTTATTTGGCCCCTCCCCTCACCCTAGGGATGGAGAATTTGGGGCTGATGCTCAGAAAGAGGCACTTTCATCCCTGGAACAGGAACAGATAGCAGGGACTCTGGAGTCCAAGTTCCCATCCAAAGAGATTGAGGGAATCTATATAATTTGGGGACCCAGAACTGGGGGAGCAACTGTTATGACCTAGGCACCTGGGTCTTCCCTGAGGCCTGTACCCATAGTTACCCACTAGGGTGTCAATTTGAGGACCCCTTACGTGACATTGTACCTGTCCTGCTGCTGGGACCCCAGGGAGCCCTGGCTGAGAGTAGGAGAAAGGGTTAATTTTCTCCATTACCTGTGTTTGTCTGTTATTGAAGCCCTGTATTTTTTAATTTGTTGTTAATATTTTTGATCCTGGTTCTAACTGTAAGAGCATCATATTTTCTCAGTCTTTATTCTGTTCCTGACTTACATCATGCATTTTTTTTTGTTTGTTTAAGTTCAGTGGTGTGATAACTGTTCACTTGAGCTCCTCTTCAGGCAGATGCCACAGTCTGCTGGGTTGAGACTTCTCTCAGGGTTTTGGTTGTTGTTTGCGCCAGCATTTGTAATTTGTTTTTCTTTATCTTTGTAGTGTTTATAGCAGGGACCAGGGCTAAATTGTAGACTGCACCCTTTGTACTGTTTGGGTAACAGGAGAACTGTCACTGACAAGGAGTGGTAGGGGGAAGGACCCAGGGCCTGAAGAATCAGCTCCAGTGAGTGTCAGGGACTCAAGCTTCCTCCTGTGCTGTAGGTACCACAGTTGTGGGGAGGGGTCCACAGTGATACCCTCCTCTAGGTGAACTCCTCACCCTAAATATCTTGAATAGCCTTGTGCTAACCTCAACCCCCTTATGCTAACCTCAAAGCTAAGTTTAAGAACTTTATGCAGCACTGAACACAAACTGAGCTGTCTGTTGCACCGCTTTTTTCTGGGTTGCTTTCTCCTGGGGTTAAAATCCATTTGATATTAAATACCAGCTGGTGGCTGTATTTAGTTGTGTTTTGACTCTGTTTGGGGCAGGTGGGAGGGGGTGTGGACAGTGGGGGTATGGGAGGGTGTGAGTTGGTGTATAGGGGGAGTAAGGAGGTTGAGTGATGACTTTTGTTTAGAATATCACAACCTCTCACTACAAATTACAGTCTCTTATAGGAGAGACAGATGATTCCATCTGGCACTTCCCTCTAGATTGGGCTCCAGCTGTTCTGTATTGGGAGCATCAGTGTCATCAGTCATCACTCCTCACCCTGTCCCTGTGGTGCACCCCTGTCCTGGAGGCCAACTCAGTGCATCCCCTCCAAAGTTCCCAGTGCTGGAACTCCAAGCACCCAGTGTAGTTAAGCCCCTGTGCAGGGTCTCTGTGGAGACCTGTTGAGCCCTGTGGAGGATCTCCCTCATGATTTGTATCCCCTGTATCACTGAATACGCAGTTCAATTAAAGATTTCCCCACCCTGTTCTGCCGGACACTTGCTCCTGTCACATGCTGCAGATGTCGGTTTATTTTTCAGGGAATATGATTTTGTTCTGCTGTAACTGAGTGTGAATATTAGAAGGAGGTGAGCCTGGTATCTTCACTCTGCTGCCAACTTGCCAGGCTCTTCTTGTCAAATCCTTTACAACACTTTCTGAGACAAACTTGAGGTTTTGTTTTTTATTACATTAGTTTGGTATATTACAGTGATTGAATTGGATGTTAACTCAGGCTTGATTTATTAGAATAAATTCTACTTCGTTATTCACATAGTTCTTTTTATATGTTGCTGGATTGGATTTACTATATTTTGTTGAGTATTTCTTGAGCTTCTATCCATAAGAGATATTGGCCTGCAATTTTCTTTTTTTTTTTTTTTACAAAGTGATGTGAGCTCTTTTTTAATTAATATTTTATTTTATATAATTCTTACATCATTTTTCATTTTTGCACAATGTATGCATTTTCATTTTGGTTATATTCTCCATACAATTGCACTCTCCCTTATTTTGACCTTCGTCCTTCCTCTCCCTCCCCTCCTACCCCTCACGTAGTGTGTCTCTGGTTTACAGTTAGTTGCTTGTTGATTTTGATTTTTACTTTATTATAATTAGTCTTCTTCCTAGTCCCTTATTTAGGTTTTCTAAATTCCTGCTTTGAGTGAGACCATCCGGTATTTTCTTTTTCTTTCTGGCTTAATTCGCTGAGCATGATCCCTTCTAGCTCCATCCATGTTGCTGCAAATGGCATGAGTTTATCTTTTTTGATTGCTGAGTAATATTCCATTGTGTATATGTACCACATCTTCTTGATCCAGTCATCTATTTTTGGGCATTTGTGTTGTTTCCATAGCTTAGCTATTGTAAATGGTGCTACTATAAACATAAGGGTGCAGGTGCTCTTTGGAATTGATGTTTCTGTGTCCTTCGGGTAAATACCTAGGAGTGGAATTGCTGGATCATATGGAAGCTCTATCTTTAGTAGGTTGAGGAATCTCCACACAGCTCTCCATAGTGGTTGACCAGTTTGCACTCCCACCAGCAGTGCAGTAGAGTTCCTTTTTCTCCACACCCTCGCCAACATTTGCTATTGCTAGTTTTTTTAATGTGCCATTCTCACTGGTGTAAGATGGTATCTCATTGTAGTTTTGATTTGCATTTCCCTGATTACAAGTAAAGTTGAATATTCTTTCATATGCCTGTTGGCCATTTGCATTTCCTCTTTGGAGAAGTTTCTTTTTAGCTCTTCTGCCCATTTTTTGACTAAATTATTATTATTATTATTATTATTGAGTCTCATCAGCTCTTTGTAAATTTTTGTGACCAGTCCTTCATCATTAGTGTTGTGTGCAAAAATTTTCTCCCAGTCCTTGGGGTTTCTCTTTGTTTGCTTATTGTCTCTTTTGCTTTGCAGAAGCTCTTTAATTTTATGTACTCCCAGCTGTTTATCTTTGCTTTCACTATCACTGCTTTGGGTGATGTGTCTGTAAAGATGTCTTTGAGGTGCATGTCATGTAGTGTTTTGCCTTAATTTCCTTCTATATATTTTATGGTTTCAGGTCATGTCTAGTTCTTTAATCCATTTTGAGTTGGTTTTTGTGCATGGTGTGAGGTAGTAGTCAAGTTTCATTCTTTTGCATGTAGCGACCCAGTTTTCCCAGCACCATTTATTGAACAAACTTTCTTTTCTCCAGTGCATATTCTTTGCTCCTTTGTCAAAGATTAGTTGGCCATAAATCTGTGGGTTTATTTCTGGGTTTTCTATTCAGTTCCATTGGTCCGTGTGTCTGTTCTTGTTCCAGTACCATGCAGTTTTGATTAGTATGGCTTTGTGGTATAGTTTGAAATCTGGGCATGTGATGCCCCATTCCTTTCCTTTTTTTTTTTTCAGAAGGGTTTTGGCTATTTGGGGTTTTTCGTGGCTCCATATGAATTACATCAATATTTGTTCTATTTCTTTGAAGAATGTCATTGAAATTTTTATTGCTTTTGGTAAATGGCCATTTTGATAATGTTAATTCTTCCGATACATGAACAGGGGATGACTTTCCATTTCTTTGTGTCATCTTCAATTTCTTTTAACAGTGTTTTATAGTTTTCTTTGTATAGGACTGTTACCTCTTTTGTTAGGTTTATTCCCACGTATTTGATTTTTTTTTATTTCAATAATGAAAGGGATGGTTTTCTTGATTTCTTCTTCTTCAGATTTATTGTTTGTGTGTAGGAAGGCTACTGATTTTTTGTGTTTATCCTGATTTTTGATTTTGTATCCTGCCACTTTACTAAACTGACTGATTAGTTGAATTAGTTTTTTCTGTGGAGTTTTTGGCGTTCTCTATGTATATTATCATATCATCTGTGAATAGTGATAGTTTGACTTCTTCCCTGCCTATCTGGATTCCTTGTATGTCTTTCTCTTGTCTTATTGCTCTGGCTAGGACTTCCAGTATTATATTGAAAAGCAGTGGTGAGAGTGGACATCCTTGTCTTGTTCCAGATCTTAATGGAAATGCTTTCAGCTTTTCACCATTTACAGTGATATTGGCTATGGGCTTGCCATATAGCGCCTTTATGATGTTGAGATATGTTCCTTGTATCCCGGGAATTTCAAGGGCCTTTATCATAAATGGGTGTTGTACTTTGTTGAAAGCTTTCTCAGCATCTGTTGTATTATCATATGGTTTTTATATCTCTTTTTGTTGATGTGTTGGATTCCATTGATTGATTTTTGGATGTTGAACCATTCTTGTGTCCCTGGAATAAATCCTACTTTGTTGTGGTGAATTGTCTTATGGATACATTGTTGGATTCTGATAGCTAAAATTTTATTGAGGATTTTTTAACCTGTGTTCATTAGAGTTATTTGCCTGTAGTTTTCTTTTTTTGTGTTGTCCTTGTTTGGTTTTGGTATTAGTGTAATGTTGGCCTCATATAATGTGTTTCGTATTATCCCTTCCTTCTCAATTTTTTGAACGTGTATGAAGGATAGGCACTAATTCATTTCTGAATGTTTGGTAGAATTCATTAGTAAATCCATCTGGTTCTGGGCTTTTGTTTTTGAGAAGAGTTTTGATTACCATTTCAATCTCACTGCTTATAATTAGTCTGTTTAGGTATTATGTATCTTCTTTATCTAGCTTTGGGTAATTATAGAGTTGTAGGAATTTGTCCATCTCTTCTAGATTATTGAGCTTGTTTGCATATAACTGTTCATAGTAGTTTCTGATTATTCTTTTGAAATCTGCTGTGTCTGTTGTGATTTCTCCTTTATCATTTGTGATCCTATTTATTTGTGCTTTCTCCTGTTTTTCCTTGGTGAGCCTGGCTGGGGGTTTGTCTATTTTTTTTTATTTTTTCAAAGAACCAACTTTTGGTTTTGTTGATCTTTTGGATTTTTTTTTTTTAGTTTCTATTTCATTTATTTCTGCTTTTATTTTTATTATTTCTTTTCTTCTACTGGTTTTGGGATTTTGTTGTTCTTTTTCTAGTTCTTTGAGCTTCGAGATTAGGTTGTTTCTTTGAGATCTTTCTTGTTTCTTGATGTGAGGTTCTATTGCTATATATTTTCCTCTTATTACTGCTTTTTGCTGCTTCTCATACATTTAGGAAATTGGTGTCCTCCTTGTCGTTCAACTCAAAGTATTTTTTAATTTCTTCTTTGATCTCCTCATTAGTCCAATGGTCTTCCAGTAGTGTGGGTTTCAATCTCCATGAGGTAGTAGGGTTCCTTGCCTTCTTTTTATGGTTTATTTTTAGTTTGATGACTTTATGTCAGAGAGGATGGTTGGTATGATTTCAATCTTGGTGTATCTGTTGATGTTTGTCTTGTGTCCCAGTATGTGATCGATCCTGGAGAATGATCCGTGTGTGCTTGAGAAAAATGTATACTCAGATTTTTTTTTTGGATTTATTGTTCTATAGATGTCTGTTAAGCCCATGAGCTTTAGATTCTTATTTAGAGCTTTAGTGTCCTTACTTATTTTTTGTCTTGTTGATCTATCCATTGTGGATAGTGGTGTGTTGAAGTCTCCTGCTACATATGTGTTCCTCTGATGTCTGTTTTCAGAGATGGTAATAGTTGTCTGATATATTTTAGTGCTCCTTCATTTGGTGAGTATATGTTAATGAGTATTATTTCTTCTTGAAGTATTGTCCCCTTGATCATAATGTAGTGACCGTCGGGGTTTCTTTTTACCTTTTTGACTTTGAAATCTGTTTTATCTGATATAAATATAGCTGGCCCTGCCTTCTTTTCTGGTCCATTTGCTTGTAGGATTGTTTTCCATCCTTTAACTTTCAGTCTATTTTTATCTTTTGTAGTTAAGTGAGATTTCTGGAGATAGCAAGAGGTTGAGTTTTGTTTCTTAATCCAGCCTGCGACTCTGTGTCTTTTTATTGA